ATACTAGCCTTCCTTTATCATCCCTCAAGGGTCCTATCCCTATCCTAACATTTTTTTCCCCTTAGTGTATTCAAAGAAATCCTTACTATTACTTTTTACATTTTCAGCCAACTTTTTTCATACATCCTTTTTGATGTCCTAATTTCCTGTTTCACCAATTTTTTGATCTTCTATAATCTTCTAAGTCTCCTGTCATACCAGTCAATTTAAATTTCTGAAATTTATTATGCTTTTCTTCAATTTTATTTCTTAAACTCTTTGTGAGCCAACCTGGTTTTTCACTTGTAGCTACCCCTTTTCTTTCGATTAGGAATATGTTTACATTGAATATTTAAAAATATATTTTAAAAAATTTTCCACATCTGATCAGTGTCTCCAAATAACTCAGCTGCCCAATTCACGACAGATAACTCTTGTTGCATCCCTTCAAATTTGCTTTTTTTGGAATTTGTAACCAAACTATCATTATTCCTTAACTCCGTATGCAGCAAAACATTGAACCTAATAGAGCAATGATCACTTGTACCCAGATGTTCCCCAATTTCCACCCTCTCAATCATTTCTGTATTTGAAGTTAACAATAAGTCTAAAATAGCATTGTTTCTAGTTGGTTCCTTGACTAACTGGTGAAGAAACCCATCTTGAACATTTTCCAAAAACCTTTCTCCTTCATGGTTTGATTCTAGAATTTCCCAATCTATATGCCTGAAATTAAAATCACCCATAATTATGACTTCATTAACAGCTGAAATCTTAATCTCATTTTAAAGTTTTTCACTAATTTCATCAATCAGTATCATTTGGTTGTCTGTAACAAATTCTCACTAAAAGCATTTTCCTTTTATATCTATTAATAGAAACCCAAATGGATTCAATCTCTTTGCTATTCTCAACTTCAACAGGATGTAACTCACATTTTACATATAAAGCCATTTCTCCTCCCCCTTTTAATACTCTATCCCTATTAAATAGCCTGTAACCCTGTATTTCAAATATATTTCTATCTATTAAGTTAAATAAACTTATTTAAAGTTTTAAAGCATTGGGAAATAAATAATGTCTATTGTTATCAAAATTTATATCACATCATTTTTAAATGGTATAAGAAAAATCTATAAACACATTTTGAATAACTTCTTTAAACTTATCTTGTACAAATGATCATTTGTAAACTTCAGTAATCATAAACATCATTAAAAAAGAATTAAAAAATAAACTTTTCAACTGTTTGTAATAAAACTAATAACAAATTTAAATATAATAATTCCATTCAATGTAATCAAATGCCAATCAGGCTTAGTAGTCATTAGTGAAATAGCAGCACTTGTTGTATTTTAATGATTAGCTACAAAAGGTAAAAATATTGGCCCCATGTTTTTATACTTTGATAATTTCAAGATTGTGCCTAACACACAGTTACCTGATCTCTACAGCAACTAAAGATCCAAGGACCTAGTATGAATAAGAACAAGTGTAATGATATGTATTGGTGAAGTTCAAGCAAAAATAAATGATTAATTAACCAAAGAATGACTGAATATTATAGGCTTGTCATCACAGTGTAAATACTCCTTCACTTTGATGATTAGTCTCTAATGTTTAATAAGGATAATTCAAACAATCAGAAGGCACTAGTTGTAACAATGATACAACAACAGGACTTCACTGCAAGTTCTGGCTTTCTCAAAAATCAGAAATGAATATTTTCCCCTCAGAAGTTAGACATATTTGAAAGTTCCATAACTGCATTCACAGCTCTCTGTAGCTAACCAACCAGAAAACAGATACCACGAATATATCTTTCATGTCACAATTATAAGGTATCCCCAATATACAAGGTAAGGTAAGATAAAATGGATCTATCCCATGAAACAGTAGATAATTTCCTCGATTAGTCAAGTTACAAAAAATAATACCCAGGCTGAATTTAACACATGACCTTAACTGGATTTAAGATGTTTTAATACAAACTTAGAAAAATTCAAAAAATTTGTGACATAAAATACAAACTGTAGGAGAGTAAGGTAAGTAATATTTGCATACTATATTGCTTTACAATGATTAATGGTTGCCAACATTAAATCTAGGATTTCCAGGTGCCCGCTGGATCTAGATAATTGTATGCCAAGTATTTAGTTCACCTGATGTGTCAGGTGTAGTGAATTAAAGATCATGTAAAAAATAATTTTTAATTTGAAGTAGATAAAATGTTTTGGAGAATAAATTGAAATGATATACGAAAGTTACTGGTAAAATGCAATGCCATCCAATAGAAATGGGGTCAGTATGACAATGTTATACAAGAAAAAAACTGAAGAAATCCTTCAACTACATACTTTGAGGTTGTGTAACATCCTGGCACTTGCTTCTGAGATTTTTATTGTTGGTGTATTCTTTACTTGTTGGCTTAGCAGCCAAAGAAGTAGAAATAGCTTTACCATGACTTAGTTTTCCTGTCAGCAATCCTAAATAAACAGAAACCCTGGCTTCATCAATGATTTACTATTTCAGGTATCTGAAAGTTTTCCATCTATCTAATGAGGTTCTCGTTTTTACAATTATAATTGAATATTCAAATGTAAAAGGGTGAACTGTAACTATTTTACACACTTGTCATTCGACAATGACCAGTATATTCCCTAGCTCAAACAGGAGAACTTTTTAATGATAAAGAGGGGCTCTGGTGTTAGAAACAATTTTACTAAACTGATATGCATGAAAAAAACAAATTTCTCACAGTTTACACCATGAATAAAGGTTTTTCTGCTGCAAATGTTTAGCGCTTGAGCTGCAGCTTTATAAGAGGAATACAGAAAAGACTCAGACTATTTTTACAGGGCATTTGTAGAAATAATTATATGGAACAGAGTTTGATATATTTATATTTCCTGTTAGTTTGCATATGATGTAATATAATAAGTTACGCTAACTATAATTATTGATGAATCTCTTCAATGTATTGGGTGCATTTAGTTTATAGCAGTATAAAATGTTAGAATTAGCCAAGAGACACATTTGATGTTTGTAGAAACATTAGAAAAGTACATACACATACAAATCACACTATTGATAACTTAGTGGTCAGTATTGCTAATAGGTGTTGATATCTACAATATAAATTTTCTTGGTCACTTTATGTTCCAAAGCTCAAATAAAAATATAGTACCAATTAAACTGGCACAAACTAAAAGTTGACATAAAATTCATAGAATAAAAGTAACATACATATATCACCAACCCGAACTGTAATTTATCTCTTAGACTAATATATATTTTATTCTTGTGTTTTCAATCAAATACAATTCTTTAGAAACTGACATCAGTTGAATATGATATACTGATATCCAACAGATATGTGAAAAATATGAAAGAATTGTGTGTCTGATGATAAAAGCATGACATTTGGTAAATAGTTAGGGCATGCCTTAATAAAGGTTTCTGGTTATAGATTTGTTCAAAGATGGCCATGGCAATCATTTTACAAAATGGACATTAATGAATGGTTTGAGTTTCTGTGTATGACATATTTGTATTGCCTTTGGTGAATGTTACAGATTCAGTTTTCAATATTTCTGTTTCAGTAACCAATCACTCACACTGCTTGCCACTTTGGGTGTATCAAGTTTGCCATATGTGGATTTTAATGTGCAAATATCAAACTGCTCACCGTATAAATAATGATAAAATATGTTTGATGTCAGCGTTACTGTCTTCTAACTATATTTTCTTTTTGTCTGCTTTCATATGACATCCCAGTCTTACTGACTGAATGAAGATGGTCAAAGTATATCAGATAGTACAACATGAAAAGTTTAGTATCTCAGATATACAGTGTGTGATACATTGGGCCAAATGTGTTCTGTGTCAGCAGGACACATACGATGCACCTCACTGTCTAATTGTTTCAAAGTGTGCACAAATGGAACAGGTTACAATACCCTTCCTGAAAACCTCATTGGCTTCTAAACATTGATTGCTTGCCAAGCACAATAAATATATCATGATTAAATGATGGCAAGGACATAGAGACACCTTTCTAACATCACACTGCCAATTGGAGTAACTCTTGTAGCCTGAAGTTCAACAAAACAAAACTTCAGCAAGCAAAGGAAAACACCTCATTAATAAAATACAGATGTCTTCAAGACATATGCCTGTCAAAGCTTGGAATGCACTGCCCCTAGAACTAAAACATGTTTCTTTTGTGATGGACATGCGGCTGGGGAAGTTCTGTACACAGCTTCAACACTTGAATTTAACACCCATGTCAGATACCCATACCTGATAACACAATAGGCTAAATACCATGTTCAGTGTTTAGTCTTTCTCTACATTGAAGTAATAGACACAAATACATATATAAAGAACAAGATGCTAGCAGTATTAATCATAGTACAGCATTTGCCAAATTGATGTCCTTTAATGAAGAAGTCTGCATACACAGTTAAGTTGCACTAGATTTCAAACTGAACAGTCTGGCAAATCTATACCATGCTAGGCTGGAATAGTTTGGGACTGACATGATTTTGTATGTGCATTCCACTAGAGTGAAAAAAATCGAGTTCTTAATTACTTTCCTGACTTGAATGAAACAAGAAAGAGCTGCTCTCCTTCCTGAGTACCAAAGCAGCAATGCTTGAAACCAATAATGAAGACACCAGCATAGATCACAAAAGCGTACTCTATGATCAGCCCAGAGAAGTCATTGGCCTTAATCCATGCACACATGAGGAGATAGACACATGCTTCTTGTTATATGTGCAAGATTATGTGAAGCAATGATTTAGTAAGGTGTTGATATGCACAAATGTCACTAATATGGTAATTCTAGCAATGATATCAGTCCATCACTTCACCATCACTGAGCTGTGAGTTGCCCTTGCCACGGGGAGGATCTACAGATCCTTAGCAGCTCATGAGATGGCTAGAACATTGAGTTCTGACAAGTGTCTATCTCTGCCTTCCTCACTGGGTGTCATCCTTTGGAGGCAGGGGTTAAAAAGTCAACTTGGGATACCCGTAAGTATTTTGACGAAGTCACACCAACATTCTGCAATTTAGCTGCTAGACGTCTCTGAATGAGTGGCTGATGATATTGGAACGTTTTGTTGTACTCATGTATAACAGAGTCATTTGTCAATAGCATGTCAATGACACTCTAGTTTACATAAGTCACGTATTTTTAGATTATTTGACAACTTATTGGCATTTCAAAATGATTAAAACTTGATATAACACTAATATTTGAAGTTTGCAACCCAAACACTTGATACACATAATTTTGCTACTAACCAATAGTGGTCATCTGTTTAATATGGTCGCTATGTCTGTCATAGGACAAAACTGCAAAAGCCCTATAGCCAAAAATCTTTATTAGGGTCTACCATAAATGAGTGTCAAATTTCATGTTTTTATCGCTAAAGGTACAGTTTTTAACAAAAATCCACTGGACTATGATAAGGATATAAATGCTGGACATACACAAATACACTGGTAAAAAAGTACCCAGTATTATCGTCACTTGAGTTTAATGATAGTAACATTTTTTTTAAATATTGTTTAATAAGGTACCTAATATACTTAACTTCAACTAACAATTACTTGCTAATTTGTTTACACAGTAGGATACAGGGTTGTGTGCTACCAAAGTGCTTCGGAGCACAGCTCCAGCAACTGAAATTGGAGCTAATTCTGACAATTCAAAAACTAAATATATATATATATATATATATATAAGGTATTCAATTTACGCCTGAAATTAAGTGTCTTTCGTACCCAAACATTCATAGTGTCAGAGAACAGTCTATATTGTGTATTTAAAAGGTACACAATTTAAAAAACATATCATTTACATAATATACAATGAAGGTCGCTTTTTTTAGCTATTCGTGTTGCCAGGATAGGAGACATGCAAGGCATTATAAAAGTCAAGTTTGTTAATACTGTAGTGCAGCTAGAAAGTTTGTTTGTTTGTTTTGAAGTTAAGCATAAAGCTACACAATAGGCTTTCTGTGCCCTGCCCACCACGGGTACCGAAACCCGGTTTCTAGCGTTGTAAGTACGCAGACATGCCGCTGTGCCACTGGAGGTCGCAGCTAGAAATATAATGAATTAAAATAGGATATGCAATTTCAAAACTTGTTTTAATGCTAGTAATTTTAATTTAGTACCCATTTGATGATTTTTTTCTTTGCTGCTTAATAATTTAAAGAAAGTTGAGTTGCATATTTTCTCTCGTATTTACGCGTATTTCATTTGGTACTTATGTAAGTTGTCTCAAATAATTTGCTGAAAAATAGACAAAAATAAAAATTAGCTTTTGAAAATATGATTTTTACCCTGATAGTGACGTCACACGTCTGACAAATTTTGGCACTATAAAAGTTAGTACTACACCACTGGTGAGATGTTTTGTCACTTCCCCTAATGGTACAGGTGCAACAGGAAAAGAACAGCTATTTCTAGGATACAAGTAGTTGAAAACATTTCAAGATTTTGAAAACATTCTTGTTAAGGTTACTTTTTACATCAGGGGCGTAGCCAGCACTAAAGATTGAGGGAGGGGGTCTTTTTCCAAAAATATGTGAACCTTTTCTTATACATAAAGAAGTGATCTACATGAAAGTAAAGTGTTTATTTTTTAAAAAATTAGAATATAGTGGACCTATAAAACTTTTTTTATAGTATTGAGGTGGTCATTCGATCCCCCCGCCCGACTACACCCCTGTACATTACAGCACAATGGTGGGAATGGTGTCACTCAATAGAACATAGCTTGTCTCTGGTACAAATTTTAGAATTGCGATTCTGGTAATTAAAAAATTAATAAACGTTCTTATGTTACGTGAGAGTTACATCACACCCCATAGGGATAGTGTCGGCCTCTTCCCGGTGTGGAGAAAGGGGCTGAGACGGGCTAGATAAAAATTAAGGCATACACTGTAGTATTTAGAAAATGAAACAGCTTTAACAGTAATTACTGCTCATTATGTGTCGCTAAGGTGCACGGGCTACAGGGGGAAGCTAAGGTAATTTTGAGGTAGTTTTAGCCCCAGCAAGATCCCCTTTTAACGTAGCTCCTGACTAAAGTTATAAAGCTATTGTTTGCTTATTGGTTTGTTTTTTGGGGCAAGACAAAATTAAATGCGTCTTTTAATTTTTTGTTTGGCCCACTAAAAGGGTTATTCCAATTATGATTAAGTTAGAATACTTATATATAAGTAGCTTAAAAATGGAGAGACTAATATGAGATTTTGGAGCTTACCTTTTTTAGGCACCAAGGCTTTTAACATATAAATGCAATTGTCATCTGAAGCCCACGCATGCATTTTTCTGAACGAATCTTTTCCTTTTTCGGTCAGTTTCTCCCAAGGTTTTGGTTTGGAAAGCAGTTCACTTACAGTACCTTGCGAAAGACCAAGCACAAACTTGGCAAAAAGGCGTTGTCCAATATTATGCATACTCAATAGCTCCCGCACGCACCGAGAAATGTTTAATGTGTTCAGTGTTTCATTTGCATATTTTTCCATACATTGACTCAGGCACTCTTGGAGTTTGTCTAAAGTCACGTGATCACAAGAAAAACCTTTAGATTTGGGAAGTTCACTCGATTTGGTTCCATTCTGAGGTGGGTGTGTGATTGGGAGACACCCATCTGTGGATGAGGTTGTCACAGGTGAGGAACTACCGTGATCTTCTTTTTTTAATATATTGGTATAAGTGGATACGATTTCTTTACCTAAAAGTGAGCCAAAAGTCTCTACAGTTTGAAGTGGAGGTGGAAGGGTATTTTCCAGAGGAGAGAGAGTACCTGCAAGAAAGGTGCAAAAAGTGCTTAGTAGTTAAGAATAATGGGTCAAAAATTTGTGTTTTTTACCAGAAACTAAAAATGTATTGTAAAGAATTTATAACTTTCGGCGTGTTTTAGTGATGTTCCCTTGTAGCTTAGTTCAATGCATCATGTACGTGAGTATTAGATAAATCGGGAATGGGAGTTATAAAGCAATACCGATGTAGGCAGGGATACCAATGATACAGGCTAGTGCCTGTCAAGATTTTTTGAGTTGTCATCAGTTTATGTACACAGTGTGCAGTGTTGCCAGATTGAACGATTTTTGGCATTGGGCAATAAATTGTGCTACTTTTAAATGTTTCCAAAGCTACACAATGAGCTTTTTGTGCCCTGTCAACCATGAGTATCGAAACTCGGTTTTTTATCGTTGTAAGTCCACAGACATGCCGCTGAGCCACTAGAGGGCGAAAAGAAACAAGTCTGATTTATCGGGAATAGAAGTTCTTGATAAAGTTCATTCCAATAGAAGTAGTAAAGAATCCACATTGTTTTCTTTATAAAAGTCAGTTCACAACGACATCAAAACTAAAACTTATAGATTATACCTTAATTAGACACACCTTGTGAGATAATAATTTATATTTTGTGTAATTTTACACCATCACTGTGAAGCAAAGAACAGCATACTGGTTTGCCTCTGTCTGCCCGTCCCGAACTGGTGAACAAGATTTCTTAAAATTGATTATATTTGGAAGTTGATGGGTCAAAGGTCAAGGTCACTTGCACATAAAAAAAATCTTCCGCAACTTTATGGATATGATATTTCGTTACAAGACGAATCGATATTGAACAAACTTATACAACAGGTACTACATATAAAGTTATGGACCCGGTTATCTTTTGAAGGTCAAGTAAAAAAAAATCTCCAATCTTGTGAACATATCTGAAGACTGGATGAATATATTTTGACAAAACTTATTCAATAGGTACTACACGACGAAATCGGAGAGACTTGAATATACGTTAGCTCACCTGTCTCCTAGTGAATATTATTTGTGTAGGTTGTCCCCCACACGGGTTAGTTTACTGATTTACAACGCTCATATCCAGGGTTGGATTCTCCGTGGTGGACAAAGTGCAGGTAGCCCTTTGAATAGCTTTTCGCTAAAACGCCAACACGAGGTTCTCCTAGCAATGTTGTGTGGATGGTTGATTTGTTTCTTTGTTTTGCGTAAAGCTACAATGGGCTATCTATACTGTGCCCGGATTTTAGCGTTACGAACTATTCAGACTCACTGCTGAGCCACTAGGGGGAATGTGACGGATGGATACTAATATATGATTATGTAAAACAAATGCTAAATTGTTAGTAACGTGATTTGTTGTGTCTAACAATGAAATAAAAAACTTACAATCTGAAGTTTAAGCGAGAATGTCGAGATGAGTTAGACAAGACAGTTGTGATACATAATAGATGAATAAAAGAAATATATTATTGTGAATACCCGTTTGAGATTCACTTGTGATTTAACGTTGTTTTTGAGAAGTGTCTACTTCTGTTATTTTGTATAATCTAACGAATTATATTATTTCTTCTCATTCTTTTTTCATATTTCGTCATTATTTGGTGTGAGCCAATATTAACAATGTTGCTTGTTTAAAAAAATTGTACTTGTGTTTGAGCTCGGACACTGGTATATTTCATTACAAAGTCTTGGCTACATACCACTTAGTTATTGATTGTTGATGTTTTGTAAAACGTTTATTGTGGTTAATTAATTTGTATCGTATTCTGTTAGTAACGTGGTTATTTGATACTTTAAACCTGTTGTGTGGTTTAATTTATTGCATTTAAAAAGAACTACTGGACGAAATACTTTGAAACATGGGATGAGCTTTCTACAGATTATGTAACTTCTGCAAACAAAATATTTTTTATATGTAATGTTTGTATGAATTTGAAGCTTTGTGAATTTGAAAATATTTTACAAACGTACAATAAAAATAACTTTATTACCATACCACAGTTATAAGCAAATCGAAGTTTCACACGACCGAGTGTAATATGAACTAAGTTTACCTCGTCTTTTTCTACATACAAAATAATATATCATACTACAAATTGAGTATATTATTATACATTATTTTATATGAAAATCTGAAGTTTTTGTTGACATAAAATGATAAAGCACATTTATAAAAATTCAGAACTGTAATTGTAGAGGAAGTTATTCACATACATGTTTTTCTTGTAACATATCACGAGGCTACGCTTTTATCACTTTGCTCTGATCTCTATGCGATGCTCCACTAGACTAGAAGCCGTATTAACTTATATAGCTAAAAATACAGAAAAAAAAGCTTTCATTACGAGTTTAAATCATTAGCCTATGACGTCTCAAAGGTGGTATATAAGCAATTACATTACACCACGAGGTGGAGAAACAGTGACTAGAACAAAAATCGATAAAACTATTCTTGTACTGAAGTTAAAAGCTTCAAATTTGTTCAAAACTATTTCGACTTTCCTCCTAAGTGTTATGAGTACCGTATTATACTCAGAAAATATCCTGGATATTCACAAATACTGATATTTCCGTTTGGAATGCGCTGAAATCAAAATTAGCGATTTTGTAAAACTTTTGTATATAAAATTAAAGAAATAAAACTTATTTCGTGAAATTTCAACTCTGGAGTTTCGTTTAATGTGTGGAATAATGACAACAAGTTTATTTTCTATATATATATCAAGTCAATGGTAGTATTATTTTCACTCTAGGCAGGATGCATCCATCCGGGCATCCTAGTTATTTGCACCATGCCACCTTTCTCTAAGTAATGACCCCTTTCTAAGTATGAGTGACAAATTATTTTGTATTAGTCTAGTGGTGATTTTGTTAACATAATGTTAAATATGCAACTGAGCTCCTGTTAATAATACTAGGGAACTAGTATAAAAAATACTGAGTTAAAATTAAGAAAGGTTATGTGTATATATACATATATTACATTGCCTGACGAGAACTGAAATTGGGTGACTTTTTTCTGGCGAAAATCTGGCAACACTGACAGTGTAATAAAATACAAAACGAAAGGCAAGTAATAGGCTTAAGGAGAATGTTACCGAAAGGCACTTATGGCATAAAATGAAAACATATGTTGGAGAATTCAGTGAAGTTATTACGGCGGATGTTTCGTTGCCATTAGCCGTAAATAATGGGAAGTTAAGGCTAATTACACCAGGTGCCAAACATTTTGGAACTGGAACTTGGATTACTTCCGGTTCTATAAGTTATTTATGGTAGTACTGACAAGGAGTGTTCTTCCTTATCAAAGTGAACGTAGCGAAAAGTGTGGGGAACTTACCTGAGCAGAGAGACATTCATATTATTACGTGAATCGAGTCGCTGTCTTTGGAAAGAACAATTGATCATTAAGGTATGGATGTTGTTTTTAATGTTTTCAGAGGTTTAGGTAATGACTTATGTTAAATTGCTGATGGATGAAGCCGTTAAGGTTGATGCTAAAAATTTGAGTTATGTTTGAAGTATAATGAGATAATACCAAAAAGGCAGAAACTCCTTTGAGTGTAATTATTGAAGAACAGTTTTATAAAAACTAAATGTTAATCGGTTATGGACCTTGTTTATTGTTATAAATTTTGGTTGTAATTTTACATACATTTTTTATATACTACCTAATTTGTCTATACTTATCTGGGTATTGACTGGAGTGCTAAAATAAAATAAAATATGTTTTTCGGTATTTAATACAGGTAGTGGAAAAAGGATTGTAATGTGTATTCCTATATTAAATTGAAATTAAATGTGGTCATATAAGAGAGATATTGGTAATAGTCCTGTTAACATCAACCCATTGATATATTTTTGACGAGTATTGAAGTAAGACAATTTTGATAAAATTATAGCAATGTCAAGGAACGTTCTTACGAACATCATCAATCTGAACCAAAAAAAAACAAGAGAGAAAGCTTGCCACTAGGTGATTTCCAGTAGCGACAGAAGCGTAAAGACACTTATTTTGGTAAAATGTAAGCGACACAAGAGCATATTAGCTTTAAAACAATCTAATTTGCTGAAAAACTTTGAAATATTTGACATATATGAAGCTGTAGTAGATCAAAGTGCCAAGTACGACAGCGCAAGATATCCGTCATATTGATCAAGGAATGTAACCGCGTTTACTATCGATGAGAATGAGTGTAATTATTGAACTTTTATTATTCTACTGTCTTTTTTGTTTAAACATTTTTGTTTTTGTTTTTTACACTTCGTTTTACAGAACGTTTTTGTATCATCTCCAACTGCTTGGGCCTCTTCCGGCTATGGTAAGATTCACAGGCTGGAGGATCTGTAACCCACAAGAAAGTATAATATGTAGTTTTTATATAACAATAAGGGCAGTCAACCAATGGTTATCGGAACATTAGACTATTAATGTGCTTGCTTTCTTTTTTTACTGATGATATTTAGTAGACAAAGTGTAACTATGAAACTTTGGTCTGCTACAGTTTTTTACCCCTAGATATGTCAAATATTTCGATGTTTTGCAGTAAATTACTAATCCCCATGTTGCAGGCTTCTTAATAAAGTAAGTGTATTAACGCTTCTTATTGTTAATTTACTAGACCTCTTGAACGTACATTTAGAAATGATATGATGTCTATGTATCAGATATGGTACCAAAAGTGAAGCTATTAATAGCATGATAATTTGAAAATAGATCACATTCTATTCTTCAAACGTTACTGTGAAAATAAAAGACTGCTTGGAACCAAACAAAAATGTTTACATTTACAAATATGGCGAATACAAAACAAAAGATAACAAGTATCTTAACTCATTAGACAAAAATTGTATTTCAGTAGTTACAAATGTTTGAAAATGGAATAAAAACAAAATAAGTAAACATATATATAACTAAAGCGTCATTTTCAATTTCTTTTTGCCCACAAGATTTCGGTTACAGTTATTATTCTTGTTATAAATATTATAATTGTTATAATAATGTAATATACAAGCATATCATGTATTTTATACCTGCTTTAGTAACATTGACATTTATTTATTTTTTCTTTATTTAGTTTGTATGCAGACATGTGGTCCAGAAAGTTGCTGAGGTTGTCTTGTTCTAATTGCTTTTTTCTTGGTTCTCTATAGTAGATAATGTATATTCTGCCGGAAGGGATACTGCAGTAAAACGTGTTGAAAGTATTATCACCTGTGATATCTTTTGTTGGCAGAATTGAGAATGTCTTTATGTTACAGCCGACCAATGCTGTGAAGGAACAAGGATAACGAGGTAACGCTGTCAACTGGACAAAGAAACCAAGTTTACCTGTAGAATTGAAGCGTGCGTTTTTAGTTCAGTTGTACTTGGAGTTCTTCAAGCAAAGACTATTTTACGATTAGCGTGTTTAGTTCGACAGAAGTCTATCCCGACTGTCTTTTTGTGTGCTGAAGTATGTAAGCTGCGTTTTCTTTTTTATGTTTCATAGTAAAAATTACGTTCATTTTGTTAAACTTGTCAGTCTCATTATTATACACACAATAGGAAAACTTAGTTAATTTATCAAACACAGATTATATTCATTATTTCCCGAACAAAGCTGTTGTTATGAGAAGGTGTAACTATTTGATACTTGTGAAAATAAATGTCCATTTGAAAATACCACAGTAATAGTCATTGTTACATGATTGATATTTCATTTGTTCTTAGCGTTAGAATATTCTTATTGATTGTCAGTTGGTAAACATACAAACATCTGAAGACGATTGCTGAAATTGTATTCGAAATATTTTTAAAAAGGGATTGGGAACAGCTTGAAAACATGGTTGTTTTGTATTTATGTACAAAGTTACACAATGAATTATCTGTAGTGTGCCTATCGCAGATACCAATCCCCGGTGTTTAGCATTATACGCCCTCATACTTACCGCTGAGCCATCGGAAGTGAGGGAGGGGGTGGGGGTGAATATATATTATACATATAAAGCATTAATCATACTTTCATTTGTTAACTGATACATGCATTTTGTTTTTACACACTCTACATTATATTTCTACTTTTTCTGCCATATTTGCATTTTATTGTTGACTTGCTTAAACTTTTTAAGGACTTGATCGATAATTTATGTAATAATGCATCCCAATAATTGTGAAAATAATTTTAATTCCATCTATATTTTCTGAGCTGTATGGTAAAAACAAGGGTGGAAAAATACAGTAAGACGCGATTAAATCCAGAACAATAAAAAACTAAATTATCCTTCATATTACATTAGAGTAACAATTTCTTTTATATCAGATTTTAATTTAAAACAGTCAACAAAATAAACAAAGCCAAACACAGCTTTAAAACTAATATTTATTATTTGGACTTTCTTTAAGATACTGATATAGGCTCATAACCGTAGATGATATGTACATTAAAACAAGAGCGAGATTTTCGTTTTCATGGTTCCCTACCGGTGGCTCACCGTTAAGTCCGAAGCTTTATAACCTTAAAAATTAGGTTTGTTTGTTTGATGGGCACAACACAGATAACCCCTTCTGTATCTACTTCCTTAATAAAAAAACATTTTCTGGATGCCCCCATTGGCTTAGCTCTAAGTTTGAGGACTTACAAGACTAAAAATCGAGATTCGATATTCGCAATGACCACAATTCCGATAGCTCTTTGTGTAACTGTTCGTCTGGTAAAAAACAAAACAAAATAATATTTTTAATCAAGTCCGACTAGGTAAAGTGACGAAATCTACATCCAGAACCTGTCTTTAGAAATTACGTCTGGACAAACACATTATTTTACATAGTTAGGTCTCAAAGAACACGTAAAACAACAAAACACAAGCATACGTGAATTTTGGCTGATATTGTGTTCGAAAATTATTTTGATCCTTTGGATAGGAACATTACTTTTTTATGTAACACAAATTCCTATTCAATATATTAAAACTGCCTTATTGTGAGAAACAAAACCTAATATTTTTGTTTTACCTGACAACTCAGGATTAGTCACTTTCAGTAGGGTGGCTTTGGGCTGCGATATTTTCTTCTGTTCCATAACATGAACGTCAGTGGACTTAGAGATAGATTCTGGTTCCGAGGCGATGGAGTCGTGGTCTTCTTCAGCGCTCACGTGGTTAGGAAACTCCAATGATTTCAGGATGCTGTTTCAACAAACCTTAGTTTGAGCTGAGAAGTTCTTACTATTATTTGCTATATCACTGCATCAGAGTATGAAACTTTAACCATGAACATCTACGGTAATTCCAACTTCTACAGTTTCTTAAAGAAAACTGGCAGCTGTTAAATCCCCAAATGTCAAATGTTCTAAGTACCAAAAAATTCTATAGTTATAAGAATTAGTGAACTTAATATATATATACACATAATCAAGAATCCTCCTATATATTTTGTAATATATATATAACCCTTAGGCTAATTGCCTTGATATAAAGAAATCAAACAATTTTCATTACCTTAGTTCTTTCTTGATCTCATCATAATCTTTCTGATTAGTAAGTTTTTCTTCCAATTCGTGGATGATCCTATTTTTTTCAACTAATCTTTCTTGCAGATGAGAAATCTGCCAATAATGTCAACCACAAAATACTAGTCAATGTTTTTTAAAACAGGTTATTTATTATTCATAATATTTCCTCTTTTTTTAATCCCACATTTTGAAAATGCGGCATGGCACAAATATTGTTTTAATTGTTACTTTTTAAAAATTATTTTTCAAGTAATACATACTTTTCTTGATTATAATTTACGGTGATTTGGAATATTAAAAACTTTAGAAGTGTTTACCTTATTGTCTGATTTTACAAAAAACGTTTCCACAGAACTGAACATTAATCACATGACTGATGATGTATATTTTAATTTTTTAAGGAAACTTCTTACCTGGGAGGCACTTGTCTGTTTCAAGTTGTTGACTGTGGATTGTAGACTCTGTATATCATCAGCTAGCTGGGAAATCTAAGACGATACACAATCATAATCAAAATATAAACCTTACGTTTTCATTATGCTTGAACAATTCATAATAACAAAAACAACAGATGGCATTAATTATATGCAGTAAGTAATTCCCAGTTCAAATACACGTGAATATGGCCAGATGGACAGTAATAAATCTAACCATGCATCACAATATGACACGTATATCAATCACACATACATAAAAGCAATTATTATAATACTAAAAATGTAGGATACAAATGGTAGATAAATCACTTTACAAAAACTGATAACCAAGCGTTTTCTTTCAATTCACCTTGAACAAAGTATACAGATTAAGGGTATATTCTGTTCATTGTGATGTATAAAAAAAACGTGGGGTGCCAGTCTAATGACTACTAAACATGTTAAATATAGTTCGTTTTTGTTAGAATTAAGCAACAGCAATTAACTAAGATATAAGAAGTACGATAATACAGGAAGTGTATGGTGTAAATGTTTGATGTTTTCATTTAAACATTTTGAAAAGTGAAACACCAATTTTACAGTCAGTTGTGTTTCTTATTCACCATGCTAAGTAGTTCAACAGCCTGGAGTCACAAAATTCTATGCGCAATAAAGCAATTGCTAAGAATTTCCGCTGTAATAGATGTCCCTGACGTGATTAATGCTACAAAACTCATAATTACTCGAATGATGAGAGCGACTGTCATACCTTCAAGTTCTAAAACACCCATTCATCATGTAATGATCAATGTTATATTGGATACTGTTTGTTTTAGTTATTATAAATTAAAAGTGTAGCGATACGACACGAGTATCATGTCGTGAAGCCACGATACGATTGTATCGATACATCGTCCTATACGATTCGTGTATCTTCACGAAATTTGGCAAGTTTTCAGTAAACATCATATGTCTTTTGTACAGAAAAAAAATCACAATTTATAATAAAGTATTTTTGCTACAAATCAATGATTCAATAAAAGAAGATGAGTATTGAGTACTACATGTTGTCTTCATTTCTTGTATCAAAAATATTATATGCAAAGTAACATAACAAGTTAACAATAACAAAATAGATAGACAAATATTAACTTTTTATTGTATTACTTCTCTTGCCAGCTGCATTTTAGTTGATCAAACCTGAGAATATGAAAAAGCACTGTAAAGTGTGAAGTACTTAAATAAGACAATGTCAGTAATATATATATAATAAATTATAGAAAAGACCTTTGGTAAAACTTCTGTATCTAGATACGTATCTTATCGTGGCATCAATTTGTAGATACGTATCGTATCGACTACTATGATGAGATATGTATCCTTAATAGAAATATATTCATAAACTCCAAATTTAAAGAAAACTCGAGAATTTTTTTTTTGACTAAATAATTAAATTATCATTACATGGAAACAATTTGTTATTTGATTATTCATTTCTATTCGGTTTGAAAGATTAATTTCCATAGACATCTTATATACATATTATCTAACAAGGTTTTTATTTAATTTTACGGACTGCTTACTATTTTGAAACACCAGCTCACTAGATGCCGCCACATTTTATCTTACCTCCTTTTCTTTAGCAGCTAGTTCGACTTCCAGGGTTGATCGGCTAAGCACCTTAACCGCTTTCTCCATATCGGGAGTTTTTTGGATCTGTTCAGCCAATTGAAGAGAATTTTTTATGGCTTCAAGCCGTTCCTTTACCGTAGATACGTCTTTCTCTGCCAGTATTACCCTCTGTCGGTAAAATATGATACATTTATTACAGTAGAACTGCATGTAAGAAATGAGCAGTCCAGTTACAAGGCTAGCCAATTTTACATGTGCCATTTTTTGGGGGTCCAAAAACAATTTAATTATACACGAGCTGTTTATAATATGAAAATAACATTAATAAACAGATATCACAAAATAACGACGGGTACCAAAGGTCTCACAACCCTGTGCCAGTTATTTATTTTTATTTTTCAAATTGAAATATTTAATATCTATCGAGACATTTTAAACAAGACATTTTTACAACAAGACACTAAAACGTTTCGTGATGATTGTTTTCTAATTTCGAATAACTTTTCGATTTTTATTTTTTAAAGTTCCGAATGGAATAAATTCAAATATATAATTTATTCTTGAAAGAAACAACGAGTGTTTATCTTTTCAAGATATATTAATTACTGTTAAAGTACAGTGGAGAGTTTAGAGACTGACATCTCAATTTTTACAGTAATCATCCTATATATATCAAAATAAATGTTACGCTTATTTTATAGTCTCTAATTAGAGAACAGACTTACTGGACTAAGGTTATATTAAAAACTGCCATAATAAATAGAGGTCTTAAATGTAATATAAATATAATAATTAGAATGGTAATCAAATAATTCCTGTTATTATTATTCCTCACCCTTCTGTTAAAGTCTACATGAAAAGTATAAAAAATTAGAGACAGTTTCTGATTGTAAAATAAGCTTTATGTTTAGAGATAAATAAATAATCCTTTCAAGAATACAACCCATATATATAAATATAAATCGGAAGGAGGTAATAAACCTATTTGTTATGCCTATAGAAATGTTTATACTATGAGTGGTAAATGTATTTTTGAACTTACTTTACATTAATTTTAAATTTACCCATGATTCAAGTAAGGCTGTTTATGCTTTCTCGTATTTTATGTAATAATATTTATATATGGGAGCAACTGAAGCTTTACATTTAAGAATCCATTTATATAAAGAAACAACACCTTACTGATTCTGTAATAAGCAAACTGTTTATTAGTCTATGATAAAGAAATGTGAAAAATTAGACTTTTTTGTTCGAGTTTTTTTCAATTTGGACTTGTGTTGAGAAATAAAAAAGCTGATTTTTGAAAAGTATTTTATTAATTTGTTTAATGTTTTTTGCGTGAAAATATAATTTATATAATAAAAAGCCTTTTAAGAGAAGTTCAGTATTTTAGAAATTACGTCAGTGACGGTTAGTCATTTGAAGAGTGAAGTGCGCTACACGTCTACCTTCAAGGTGAGGATTAAACTAGTTCAATACTTTAATGTGTATTTTATATTCATCTTTATTTACATTTTACAGTTTTTAGGCATATCTAGTATAAGTTTTCTATGTGATTTTAGTTTTATCCAATAACTTTCTGAAGTGTAGTCAGGGAAGTTACAAAACCGGTAAAATAAACATTATGAAGGTCAATCTTTCGTTTTATTATCTAACGGTTGCTTTGAAGTGAACCAACATATATATACACACTTAACACTGGTAAAAAGCTTCTTTTGAAACAATATAATGTGATATTTTCTGTGAATTTGTATTTATTTGGTTTAATTAATTTTTTTACACAATAATCCTGATCAAACTATATCGATATTAAACTTGTTCTAGTGCATAACAAAAATGGAAAAAGATTCGAAGCAGTGCAATGACCCTAGAATTATCATTACGTTGTTTTTCCTTCTTCGAGGCCTGGCATGGCCAGGTGGTTAGGGCGCTCGACTCGCAATCTGCGGATCCCAGGTTCGAATTCCCGTCCTCCCAAATATGCTTGCCCTATAACGCCGTGGGGGCATTATAATGTGACGGTCAATCCTACTATTCGTTGGTAAAAGAGTAACCCAACAGTTAGCGGTGGGTGGTGATGATTAGCTGCCTTCCCTCTATCTTTCACTCCCTAAGTTAGGGACGGCTAGCACAGGTAGCCCTCGTGTAGCTTTGCGCGAACTTCCAAACAAACCAAACTTTCTTCGAAAATGGCATGTATTTTATGTGTACAGTATTGTGATCAACAACAACAAAACAAATGACAATACAAGGAATCAATGGTGAGGTATGCATAGTATAAAATGTAGTACACATAATACTACGTAATATTAATTTTTGTATATTATAAATCAACGTCCAGGGGGGTGGTTATATCGTGGCAATAGCCAGCGTAAAAAGTTTTGCTAACATAAAAGCAACTTTGGCAAACTGCAAATTTCAACCGTATCACACAAAAACTTTCTCATCTAAGAGTATGTATTGTTTCACTTTATTTTACAACACAGCAAGAAATGAACCTTCGAATCGTTTCTATTGTAGAAAAATAAATAAAAAATCCATTTTAAAGGAGGACGAATCAACGATGATTTCATCTGTGTTTTGTAGGAGTGCGAATAAATTCGGTATTGTTGTGAATGATTGATTAACTGACATAAGTTTGGTAAGATCTGTGGAAAGTGCTGTGCACAACTGATGCGAGGTAACGACACATGCTCAAATCAGCTACTCTAATGAACTCTGGCATATCGTACCCAAGTCCCATGGGTTCAATACCGGGTTTGACGTAGCATCTTCATTAATAAATCACACCAGCCTTCATGTAGCTTTTCTGGATAATGACGATATTTGTTTGCCACAATCGCATCATGTACGGAACACAACACCCTGTGGAGCACAATAAAACGAAATATAGACTATTCACGAGAGGTTCTCTCTATATGTATAAACAAACACAATGATACGAACTTCAAACAGGGCGTATTAATATATACTCTTTGTACAATCTCAAGATTCAGTATAGCATACAGGAAGTACAAGTTGCGGCCCTAAAACCCCATGTGGCACCCACGAAAGGATGCCAAGTTAACATATAATCACGCTTCTGAAAACCAGCTCCGGGCAGAAAAACAAAATAATACATTAACGCTGAACCTTTGGCCAGTTTAAAAGCACGCCTTAACCTCACTGTATAAAACTAACCATTTTTAACGGAAGCCAAACTTATGCTTACTAAGCCTAGCCAGAGACGCATGTTTTCGTGAGTTAATCGTTAAGACTTGTTGGTGGTTCAAACATTGCTAGCGATACTTCTGTGAGCTACGATAAGACTTGGGGGTGGTTCAAGTAATGCTGGCGATACTTCTGTTGTCATGTTTTTGTATAGGGGCTAGGATTCTTTACAGTAGGTGTTTGTGACTTGTTGGCGATAAATGTGAACAATAAATGTACAGCACACAATCCACTTGTTTTAAAATAATATATATTCAGAATATGCCAAACGTATTGCCAGAAATTCGTTACGCTATTGTTTACCACAGTTGAATCTAAATCTTTAAATAATTTACTTTTTCGTCAAAAGTTCACACAGGATGGTTCACTTACTTTAGAACCCAATTGACAAGACGAATTCTTCTTCTCTATCCCTGTTGTTACAATACAAGCTGTGAAACTCACTTTGGATATTTCCCTTTAGGCTAAACTGACAATCACACAGTCTACCTTCACTTTTACTTTCACTAACTTTAACTTCTTTTCACTAACATCTTCTTCTCTGTATCTGCAGATATTTATAACACGCGACAGAAAAATCTCGAAATATCTGGCCCTCTAGTAACAACAATATTAAACATAACGAGAAAACTTAGAAGCTTTGAGTAAGATGACGTAAACAATATTACAAAAGCACAGTACAACAATTTAATTACACACGCAACGTACGATTCGTACCGAGTTACGTAACGAAACTTGTCACAAATATCGCTCTAAAAATAATCAACTTTTAACACTCTTGTTATGAAAACAAAATAATCATTAAATATTATATCACTAAATAAACTAAATAATAAATCTTAACTTAATAGTCTTGTATATCCAACATCCGTGAAATGCGATTCTGACGTGACACTAAGATGGCCATGAACAATAACAAATTAAAATGCATTAAACTACAGTGAAGCAACAATTAGCTTGATTAATGATAACTTAAAATAACTAAAACACTGAAGATACAATAAGTTCTTTTCTGTCTCATGTCAGAACAAGGCAAGTACTGAAGCAGAACTTCTCTGTCCTGCTTTAAAATAGGGTAACCGGAAAGCTTCAATCAGGACCTTTGTAACCGGAAAGTTTTGCTCAGAACTGCTGTGTCTAACTTTAAAACAAGGTAACCGGAAAGCTTTAATCAGAGCTTAGTGTCTTACGCCAAAACAAGGCAAGCACTGAAGCCTCAATCAGGACTTCTGTGTTTGACGTTAAATCAAGGTATTAAGCATATAAAGCCCCAGTTCGAATGCTCTGCCTCTGTTCTTTCCCCAGATCATACAACCTCACAGATCCAAATGTAACAACATAAGTTAAGGCTCAAAAATAAAACATCATAACTTATTTATTGAGTTAAATATATCGTAACAGTGTTGGAATCTTTCAAGACGATCATTAACCATCAATTTCCGTATTCATATTTATTTAAATATAGGAGTTAAAAAGTTGTTATATTAGGTGTGCGGTGAACCTTGTTTGTTCGTTTTCTTCACGGGTAATAAAATAATCACCTAACTTCACATATAAAACTGAATACATCTGAGGAAAATGTTCAATTACCATTTTGTAGAACATGATTTGAAGGAATAAAATAAATAATACAAAGCATTATTAGAAGGCTACGCACACACACCTAAAGCATGAGTTAAAACTGTGTCAAACACAAAGTTTAAGTAATAATTCCAGTATGATATAATTGAAAAGAAAACTATACTTGATTTTTTGCAGAGAACATTGCGTGGAACATAATTATATATGTTTTTTTGAAATTCAGTTCTTAATAGAAGAAAATTATGCACTTAACGAAATCCTATCACTTTTGGTAGATGTAGTGCTAGTTGATTTAAACATTGTTTCAACAAGTGCACTGAGTTCACTATGGATTTCCCCTCCATGATTCTTGATTTGTGACTCAGCGCAGAGCAAGA